ATTCTTAACACTTTATATATTAGGATCAGGATTAAAATTAATTTTTAAATCTTGATTGTATATTATTTTTTTCTTAATGCAATTATTGTGATTATGTTAACCCTTCAAAGCCTGACCCATAAAATAATTGTATTAATTTTATAGATTTTTTAAAATAAACTGTTTATTAAATCTTGTGAGAAATGAACTGCTCTTAGTTGTTCATTGTTAAAAAACTACTTCTTCAGCTACCTGTGGCTTACTGTATGAACTCAACAAACAGTACTTACTGACAGCTTATTCAGTTTGCCTACTGACAATAGAATAGGATAGAAAAGAAAAGAATAGAATAGAACAGCCCTTTATTGTCATTGCACATGTACAATGAAATTATGGGTGCTCCACGCCAACTGTACAGGAATGCAGGAATAAATAACAGACAGGAGAATTATATATAATACAATATATACACTATACAAGAGGAATGTGTACAAAACACTAGAGAGGCAGACATTGGAGAAGAAAGTGCTTGGAAGCAGTGCAAAAGGTCTGAGTGTGTGCGTGAGTGGCTGGAGTGATGAGGCATCTATAAAAAGACCACAGATGTTTGGCTAAAACAAACAAGCGATACAGCTTTCTCATCCTGTTAACCCCATTCAATTCAACGGCATTTAAATAGAAAATGGTGGTGTCAGGATATAGAGCACATTTAACTCCTAAATTTGATCTTTTAACTTTGAACAGCAATTACTAATTTGACATAAGGCCTGTCTCATCAAAATAGCTGGAGGAAGTTTTGGTGTAGACATTTAAAAGGTGATCATTTAGCTGGTACACAGGATGAATAGATTGTGACTGTTTAGTAAGTGAATATTATATTGTCATCGCTCACAAGAGTGCATATATAATAAATGAAAATGCCAGACCTATTGGGAAACATCTCTAAAGATTCAAAGACAAAACAATTAATATGTTCCATATGGAGCAAGCATGAGGAACACATGGAAATAATTGTGCTGTATAATAAAAGAAAGAAATCCTCAGTAACTGTTGCTGTATTGATGTACAGGGCTATTTACTTTGAGAATTAACTCTAAGTAAATATGCAAGTGGATATTTTGGCGATTGTGCCAAAAATCAAGAAACATGAATCAATCACAAAAATAAAAGTTAAAATTATTATAGTAATGTTTTGGTCTGAATTGTCACAATAATGTTACAGAGGCAGTCGTTTTGCTATTATCACTGACAGAAAAGCAAGAACATGAGTTGTGCTTAAACTCTTCAGCACATCTTCCAAATGAAGTGCAATGTTTGTGCGGGTGGTTCGTGGAGCTGTAGCTTCGTCTTATTTAATCACTCTGTGTTTTTGTTTGTGAGGATCGTTGAGAGCAGAATTTCATCCAACAACCTTGTATGCTTTCTGGAGCCAGTCATTATTCCCTGGTTAGCTCAAGGTTCAAGAATGCTGCTGTTTGAGTGATTAGCTCATGGTCAAGCTGATGCCTCTCCGTTTCAGAGAGAAAAACTTGAGACAGCTGAGGAGGAGAACAGGAAAGCAGCAAAGACAATGCAAGGTAAACATATCTGCTGTATATCTGCTACCTTTATTCTCATTTCAGTGAGTGATTTGTTAAAGCTGCTATCTCTTTTCTGTTAGGATTGGAGCAGATTGTGGAGCGTTCAACGAAAGACTACCAGACCCTGAAGGAGGAGAATCATTCCAGGGAGAAAGAGCTGAGAGCCCAGCTGACACAGGTAGGTGTGCACATGTACAAAATACACTTATTCAAGAGGTTCAGTTTGACGTTACTCACTTTTGATTTTAATTAATTTTTTTTTTTTTTTTACTGTATTACATTTACATTTACATCTGTTCATTTGACTGTAAAAGGCCATACCCACAATCCAAACATTTGTCCTAACACGGTACAAAATAAAAAGAAATATTTAGAGTAATTTCATAGTAATTCTCTAGAAAGAAAAGTTGGCAAGATATTAACCCTAATTTGATACAAATTACTGATAAGTAAAACGGTTCATTTAACAATTTATTGTGACTGATTATCTTGGTAATTTGGGCATTTTAATTGAATTTATGAGTGAAATTGTACATCTTGTAATTTCTTATAATTTTATTGCCATGAATTTTTTTTTTGTGTGTGTGTGTCTGGTGTGTTTGTTGTGTTTGGGGACAATAAAGTTACCGTTGACTATTCACAGTATTATTTCCATACATTTTGAGAGGAATTACAGTTGCTGCTTTTTTTTGAGAGATAGTTTTAAAGAGCTATCTGTTATTGTTAAATTAAGGCACACTACGCATGTGGCCGATCTCTAGCCACATATACTGTATAAAACGCAATTAGGTGGAATAACAACGCCCATATAGGCAACAATATTCAAGATGGTGGGGCAACATGGCAGCTTCCGCAACGTGGCGCCTGCTCCAGATTATGAAACAGTGCTACAACAATTCCTATAGAAGACTTTTGTTCCTTTACTACTTTTACATTCCCAGTGGTCTCTTTTTCAGATTTTTTTTTTTTTTTTTTACACATCAAACATGGTGGGAGAAAATGTATAAATGCAGCAATGAAAATTTGAAAAACTAGACTAGACTGCTAATGAAAATCTGCTGAATGCATGTAGTCTATTTTTCTACTGCTTTTGTTTCTGAAAGTAGACCGGACAGTTTGCAGTTCTTTTTTGCCTAAAGCCACAGCTTTCATACTTCTGTTCATGCTTCAAGAAACCCATTAGAGATTAATGTAAGGGTGAAACAGCAGGAGAATCTTGAGGCTGACTTTCCTTTTTTAGCCAACATCCTTAATGAGTTCTAATCGCTCTGTTCTATTAATAGAGTACTGTTTTTGAGTGCTAATATGACTCTGTTTGACTCTGTACTTAGTTTTTTTTTAAAGTGGTTTGTTTAGTTATCCAAAACAGAAACAAGACTCAGGGAAGGTGTATGCATTAACTCTACAGTGACTAAATCTACCACAGAGTGTGACGTGCACTCTACCTGGTAGCTTTTTTAACCCAAAGTGTCATTTAGTGAATAATTAATGAAAAAATTTGTATGTGAACGTTTTTATATATCCAGAGGGAAAATAGGCTTGTTGTTAAACATGTGCATTTCTTTCTGTACTATAACATACATCTCATACTGGCTGCATTATATTTTCCAGGCCACTGAAAAGTCAGAGAGGTTGGCCTTTTCGCTGGAGCAGTTGACCCTTGACAATAGGACACTGGAGACACAGGTGAGCAGAGGGCTTTCATTGGACATATGTGGGATGATGTTTATCACCTGTGGATACTGTGGATACACACTGCTGTGACTGAGGTCAACACAGTGGTTTTACAAGTTCTATTCTATCCCTTGGTCTTGTTATCTTCTCTTTCACCAGTGTTAGCTGTTAGCTGAGCCCTGCCTCCCTGATAGTTACTGCACTTGCTATTCTACTTTGTGTGCACTGATCAGAGTTTACAGAATGGAGGCAAAATTACCATAGAAATTCCAATACGTTCAAGCTGTTTCAAACCAAAGCAGTTTCTTATTTTGAGCCATTGATTGTGTCACCCGACATGATGACTGTCTCTAACAGATGTTCTTGGCTGCAGCTAATCAATCAGTTGAAAATATTTTCTATAGCTGTCTTTATGTTATTTTTTTATTTTTTATGAAAATGCAAAAATTTTGCATATAGGCTTGATGCTGACAAGATCGAGGCGACAACAACGTTTCCCAAAATAGCTTGTAAAAGCATTGCCAAATATATTTTAAAGTAATGTGTTTCCTCTTCAACATTTAACGGATTCCTCTATTAATAGACTTTTGGAATGAAGACTAACACCGTTTGGCTGTTGAAACAATATCTCACATTAGCCTTTATGCTCCAGCAACTGCAATTGCTTGAGCATAAGCCTTTTGTAGGGCAGATCAGAGCTGCTTAACTATATCTTGTGCTGCGTTCCATTTGAAGTGGGAAGTCAGAAATCCTACCTTTTAGTTTAAATCAACTGGAATGCCCCCTTGAATTGTGCTTCTCACTTAAAAAGTGGGAGAAGCATCACCAACCCCAACTTTGTAACATAGGAGTAGTTCATGTAAACATGAGCAAAACTGTGTTAAACAGTGTGCCCTCCGGATCTAATTTTTTTATTATTATTATTATTATTTACACTTTTTAAAAAATTATTTACCCTTTATTTTAGTTTTCATAATAATTAATTATATGTCCAAATTGAAATGAAATACCAGTAATTCTTCATGAATCTAAGGATTTAATTAATTTTAATCTGTAGTCTCTGGCAGGTCGATGGCATTTATAACCAGTAATGAACAGTCAGAGCTACACCAGCATCTAAGCATTGGTTCTTTGTGGCTGCTGTTTGTTGCATGAAATTAAAATAGCAAAAACTATCAACTATGACACAGTGGATGTGTTGGTTGTAAACAGGAATTCCTTTAATTATTGAATTATGCATTAGAGCAGCAAACACTCTTTAATCCATCTCTGACCCTTTGCTGTTGGTATTGTACAGTTTCAGTGTCACATGCTTGTGTTCTACTTCATGTCGCCACAACCCCGTGAAAGAACTTGCACATGCACATCAGTTCAGCTTCTGTAGCCTGCAGGGTTTTTGTTACATATTCACATCAACATTCCCACACCGACCGCATGTGATTGGGCCAGTCATCGTATTTAATCAGCCACCCATGAAATACTACAGTCCATCCCTCTTGTTGTATTTCCTCCTTCTATGCTTTCCTGTGTTTGCGACTTGCACTTTCAGCTGTAACGTTATATTTTTGTTATCTTATACTCAGCAGCTCTCCTCCGTTTGCACTCCACATGCAGAGGATCATTCACTGCATGGCTCTTGCTCAAATAATGCATGTTCATCTTTGCTATTTGTCAGCTTGCCTGTGGGCTCCAGATGGCGAATCTCCTCACTACAAAAGAAATGCACAGGAGATTAGAGTAGGAAATGGAAAATGAACATAAACATGCTTTATGTTTGACATAAACTATATAATTTATTGGCCCAGCATTTTTCCTACACACTTTGATCAGCACTGCAGCTGTACTCTCCCACTGTTTTACAGAGAAGTACTGAAGGAATTTGAACACAGCTTCCTTTCTATACCGTTTGTTACTTGATGAATTCATGGATAATTAAAATACCATCCTATTAGTGTAAGCAGAAAAAGAGACACTTAAATTAACATTATAAGAACATGATTACATATATAATCAAAGTTGTATGTGCATACTGATGACAAGCAAGTTATGGCTTGTTTCTAAACCCCTGTTACTCCAGTGGCAAGTTTATATACTCGAGTCAACTTAAACTGAGTATATAATATAACACCAGCTTGGCATGATTTAAGTCATCTATGACCCCTGCCTAATCTCCATTTTTTTCTGTCCTCTCTCCCACTCTTTCTCTATCGGATGTCTGCTCTCACTTTCTCTCTGATTCTCTAAAGAGGGTTTCATGGTCCAGGAGAGGTAGCATGTTTGCTCTCCACTTAGCTATATTTAACTGAAGCTAAGCTAAACAGCAACACTAGATATGAAAAAACACTTTAACTAAAATAAAAATAAAAAACTGGCAATTGAAAAAGACAAAAAATAACTGAAATATTGTGTGCTTATGAAATTTCCAGTTTTTGTCTTTGTCAGTGTGCTTAAATGTGAAGATAGCAGGTTGCTGCAGATAATTATTGTGACTGAAATATCGGCACTACATGAAGTTTTATGTTTGTATTATAATACCTATAATAAGTCTTGCAAAAATACCACCCACATTATAATAATTGAAAAGCTAAAACTAAGACTTAAACATAAAACTACAATGTTTCTGCTAATCATTAATTAGCAAGTTTAAATTGACAATTCAGTGTGTTATTCTACCATTGAGACATGGTGAGCTTTGCAAATGGATACATATTTTTAGCTAAGGTCCATTTGGTGTCAGTTGTCTCTAAAAGGACGAAGGATCCCTAATAATTTAATAAATATACAAATTAAATTTCTACATAGATTTAACTACGTAATATTTTCTATTTTAATATGTTGTACATAATATTTTATGCAGTTTTCGTAAAATATTTTTTGTTAGTCATTCTAAAGGTTAAAATAGAATTTTACCTTGTTGGTTATTTATGTAGTAAATGTTAGTCATTTTGAAGTTACATAATTAGAACTGTGAGCACTCAAAATAAGCACCTCCTGCACAGTTCAACTCCTCTTTGTGTAAATTATTTAAGCTTTCATCGATGATGTTTTAATTCAGTATAAATGTTACATTTTGGATGCTTTCTTTCTGTTTGCCAGCACTGCTGAATAGTAGCATGTATCAAATTCACGTGTGTATATTTTAATTCCAAATTTTTTGGTAGCTGCAGGAGGGAGAAATCTGACTTTGTGCACTAAAACTAACACTCACGTGATCAAGCAATTATTCAGCAGAGATGCTCTTACGTCTAGCTCCCTTCTCCACTCACCCATGATGCTGTAGGTAGTGATGTAACACTGCACATGTCAGAGTGAGCTGCTGTGTGAGCGTGTGTGTGTGTGTGTGTGTGATGGCAACATTACATCAGTATGCATCAGTATAAACAACTGACTTGAGACCAGTCTGTTTTGTGTTGTGTCCAACTTATTATAGTTTTTTTTTTTCATTAATATCTTCATTGAATTAATTCCTACTCTGAGCATTCTAATATGTATACAGAGATGAAAAGTAAGGAAAAAGAAAAAAGGGGCTGACTGCAGATCATCTTAATGTGCAGTTCTCTAATTAAGCATGTTATTTTTCGTTCAGCTGCCTAACAAATTTAAAAGCACCAAATTAAAATCACAAGAGGCTTTTTATAGACAGATCCTCAGGAACACAACACAGAGGTCTTATCACTTTAGGTTACTTATGAAAGAGTCCCAAATATTCTGAAAGAGTAGCATTACCTGTTTTTGCGTTTGTGCTGATATGCTGTGTTTGGTCTTCACTGAGTATGTTACTGTGCATTATGACCAACTTCATGGACATCTTCATTTTAGACTTGTCTGTGTTGCAGACGTCTTGGGGTTTGTTCAGTTGCAGCTTTGAAAACCTAATCTGTGCTGTCATGTGTGAGAGAAGAGCCTTTTTCCTGGGAACACTTTGGGAAAAAAGACATACTAACCTTTTGTTATCAGTTTTAACATTTAACATGCTTTATGAGACCTGTAGAGTCTGAGATGTTGCAGTTTCTCTGAATATTACAGTCTGACCTTTGAATACATTTTTTTAGGATGTCCACTCTTAGAAAGATCAAGATCACGGGTGATGTCTTTCCTTCTTGGCATTGTGTTAACACATGGACTAAGTGCTTCAGTCCAGCAAACTACCAAAGCTCATACTCATCCCGCTCTTGCTGATGATCAGTTAGTTTATTTGATTAGCAGCACCTGATTGTTATTTACCCTTTTAATTCCTATGGAAACAGTAAGGATCTACTTCAGCTTTGTTTTAAGACCTTCTAAGGAGCAGATGCTGTTTTTATTATAACCTGAAAAACTTGAAATAGGGCATACTTTCTTTTCCACATGACTGTACATAGTATACATTAGGGGTGGGGGGAAAAAATCGATACTGTGTAGTATCGTGATATTTTGTTTGCTAATAATGTATCGATACAGGGACAGCAGAAATCGATATTTTGTTACAAACAATTTGTTCTGACTTCAGAGCATGTTGATCAGCTCCTTTTTCTGAGCAAGAATCCTGACATTCCTTCACTGTCCAAATGTGTTTAACTTTTTTTTTGACAGCAATAAACATGACAGTTTACTTATTTTAATTTAAGACATGTTTTATTTTAATTAAGTTTAAAACTTTTTTTATTTAATGTAAAATTATATTTTGTTTTAATTTACTTTCAAAGTCTTCAGTTGCTGAATGGGCTGCATAGTTTTCATAAATTGCATAGTTCAGAATAGCTATAATTATACCAGATGGTTGCATTCAGTTAAGTTGGACTAGACTGTAATACAAACCGTTCAGTTTGTCAACAATAAAACTGACTGAAATGAGAGAAAGACTGAGTGTGAGACTTTGATATTAGATAAAATGAATATTGATAAAGTTCACCTTTATGTACAGAATTTGAATATCGCAAAATATTTTAAAAAATTGCAATAATATCGTATCGTGCGTTAAGTATTGTGATAATATCGTATCGTGAGTTGTATAGTGATTCCCACCTCTAGCA